CTGAAGCTTAAGAGAAAGCACCACCAAACAGGAGGATATTTCGAACACCTTAGAGTTAACTTTTTGGTGATCTTTCCCTTTGCATCCTTCTGTGTGTGTAGATGTAAAGGATAAACAAACCAGATGGTTTGCTCACATGCTTCACCTTTTGTAGGGAGAAGTTGCCCTGTGCATTGGTGCACTTGTGGTCTCAATATTTTCTACATAGTAAGAGTGACCTAAACAGGAGATATTTATTCTTTGAGCATCGTATTTGCAGACTCTCACTTTGGAGTTTTGCAGCTGCAAGCAGAGCTGGAGCACTGTCTAACATTTCCTTTGGGAACAACGAACTGTGAAGCTTCAAGAAATGCTGGGAGCTGTAGACTCAAAGGTATGATGATGAGTCTGCTGCCAATTATATCCTCCTTCTAGCTTCACTATATCCAATAAATTAGATCTGGCTTCATCCCACAGGAGACTACAACTCCCAGCATCACTGAAAGATTTCTGGGTCTGAGTTTTTGGGACATGGGAGTAACTCCCAGGATATAACCCCATGAGGAATTGAAAATCATGTTAAACTGTAGAAATACTTGTATTCTCTGGGTTTACATGTATGTCTGTGCACCTCTTCAGCAGCTGAGTGGTCTTTCTTCCGGTCCTGCACGGCTTTAGAAAGTTGGGGTTGAGGTATTTTTTAATTTTTTGCAGGAAGTTCTGAAGAAAGATGGTCATTTTGCACTCCCTGAAACTCAGGGAAGACAATTAACTGAGCCAGGCTTGCAGAACAATGTGAGTGACCGAATAAATATAACTAATACCTCAGGATACTGTGGCCAATTTGAGTTCTAGGAAACTCTTAAGTAATAGGATGGACTCTGACTCTTACAGCTTAGCACATTGGAATTCAAAATTGGGTTGTTTGTGCTTTCTAAATGAGTGTCCGAATGATGTGTATGTAAATTTGTGATGAGCTGCCTTTGTATGTCTGGGACTTGAATTTCGTGAAGGTGTTTAGATAGAAGATCTCCATCCACTTGTGGCTTTAGGCATGTCAGGATTGCTTAAATGAGCAATAACCATTTAAGCATGGAGTAAAAACATGGTTGATGAACTGGAAATAAGAATAATTTATGCAGAAAAACCTCTTTCTGCACTTTTCACATAAATAATCAAATACTGCAAAAGCATCTAAGGAAACCAGGATCATGTCGTCTCAGGTGACCAAAAAGCAAAATATCTGAACACTGGGTGTATTACTGCCACATAACATTCAGTCACCACTTTTGGTGGGACGGGTCTTAAAGGCTTGTTAACCCTTTTTCCTCAGATACAGTCTCTGACATTCCTCGGTGGGACAAATTTATCATTGCTGAAAAAAGATTGTCTGGCTCAAAAATGGATAAAGAATGGATGAACAGTGTGCACCTACCAGTCAGTCAGATAGACCGGAGATGCTAAGAGACGGCTCACTTATCTATTCTTTCAGGAGGTACGTGTTGCTCTGCCTTGTTTCTACTTTCTGCTGATTATTCCCTGGTGGTGTATGTGTTAAAGTAGAAGGAGAATAAAATTCTGGTGCAGTGAGGAAAACAGTAAGTAAATCTCAACTATTACCTTGTTGTACTCCAAGAACTCATAAGACAATACAATAATAGGCACAGAATGTCCTTGTGTTATTCCAAGATGTAAATGCCAGCAGACAGTAAGAGGAAAAGGTGAATTTGGTCAGTAGCCGCTGGTCAGTACGTAAGAAAATCTGGAGGCAGCAACAAATAATTCATAACAAGAAATGAGGAAGGTATCCTCTTCCATTGTGTGTAAGGGTTTGGCTGTGCAGTTTGAATTGGTTCATACAAAAAGATTTTGCTTTTTAAATAAAATACATCCACATTGGCCTCTTCAATTCTCTTCTCTGTTGTGCTAAATCAGATACTCTGCAATGCAAACGTTGCATTGCACACACGCATGAACAGTCCAGCTTCAAACTGCACTCTGCTAAGCTGTATGGTCTGGAGTCTAGAGTGTAGCTTTAAAATAGCTTCTTAGGGATCAGCTTGGCCTCACTACCAAGATATTAGTCGTTCTTGTTCAGTAACACAATGCGAATTAATAGCAGTGGCACTGTTGTCTCTTGTTTTCACAAGCGCTTGAGTCTTAGGTATTGAATTTAATTCAGGTCCCAAACATGATCCAGAACAGAAATGACTGTGAGTCGCTACTTTTCCATGAACTAAATTTTCACAGCAGCCAGTCACTGAGGGATGAGTAGCTCACTTCTAAAATTAGACAGCCAAATTTTTAGGACATCTGTAGTTCAGAAGAAAGCAGCTGTGTGAAAATTAATTTAATATTGCCTCTGGTAAAGCATCACTTTTTCAGTTATCTAAACTTCTTACCACTTATGGCCACATTATGATGACTGATATTAATGTACTATAGCTACAGTTGCTACAAAGCAATAAAAATGCGTCTTCCTCCACCCCCACCCCCTATTAAAGAAGAGAATTAAGCACAGTGGACTATACCCAAACAATGGGATCACAAAGAGTAAGAGGCACTTAAATAAATATGGTTTGCCTCGAATGCATGGAGAAATGTGGAACACATCCCTTATTAAATTTATGTTGTGGCAAATGAATCCACCCTCAAGCCACTATCAATGAATGCAAAGAGAAATGGACTACACACACTCATTAACCTGCTATGGGGATCAGTAAATGCAAGTCTGAATGTTAGCATATGAAAAATGCCATCACTCTGTGACATGAATACCGGGTCAGGGTCAACTCAGTCTATGTCTATTTGTTCAAAAGATGTTGTCAGGTTAAATTTATATTGGTGGGCCTGATGTAGGCCAGTTGCTGTTACCTCTCAGAGCTCTCATAAAGTCGATATGAACTCTGCAATGTGCGATCTGGCTAGCTTGATGTCAGCATGATCATAAACCCAGGCCTGGCTGGCATCATGGAAAAACTGCTTTGTGATCTTGGGATGTACTCAAGAAGCGCCTCTTGGGAGCAATCATGGCCTTGAGAGTCTGAAAGTTGTTAAAAACAGAGCGTATTTAACGGTTGCTCCACATGTCTAGACAGAAGGCGTGAACAAATAACAATTTCAAAACCTCTGTTGTTTTCTGCTAAAAAAGTTTGGATAACGATGCAGCATTTTTGTACTTTTCTTGTGAAAATTCACCTGAATCTAGAAATTGCTGTGTGTGCTTTAAGACGTAGATCTACAGGGAAAAAACAGAGAGGGGAATAGGAAGGACAGGGAAAATGCATGGGAAGTTGGTGCAATCCTCCTGGAAGAAAATGTCCCTGAAAGTTATGTTTAATTTAATTTAAGATTCTGAGAGGCATTATACAACTTCTGGAGCTGAAGTGCACAGTCTTTCAAGGTTGATTTAACTGTATGGTTATAATCTAGCTGCTTTAAAAACTTGTACTCAGACGCCCAAGAAATGTCTACGTTCTAATTTAATAATTATTTTTTTAAAAAATTAGATTCAGTGGCTCTTGGGCAGATAAGAGAAATTTCTTTTGAGTGTTTTATCTCTCGTTTTATTATGCTTAAGTACCTTTTAGCTTTAATGATTGGCTTGACCTAAATTGACATCTGAAAAAGAAGCTTGATATCAGTGCATAAATCTGTGATAATCACCACATCATTACACAGTATCACCTTTTGAAGAAGGAATTGTAAAGCTACTCTCTCTGTATTCAGAATTCAGCAGAAAGCTATTAACCCTTGTCTTTTATGAACAGATTAAAAAATGCCACTTGTGAGAAACAAAACCGGCAAGCTAAAGCAAAGCTAAACTATTTGAGATGGGACCTTGATGTGCGTTTTGTTAGAGGTCTGCTATCCTGAAGTTTTGATAAAGGAATGTCAATTTGTGATGAAAAATTTTTCTTTCGGGGAGAATACTAGATTCTTAAGTCAGAGTCTTCTCATGTGTTCTGCTGTTTTTCTCAGCCAAATAGCTCTGTCTGGAAATAGCCAATGTGATACTGCTCTAAATTCATAGGGAAATGATGTTAACCTCCATTTTCTCAGCCAAATAGCTCTGTCTGGAAATAACCAATGTGATACTGCTCTAAATTCATAAGGAAATGATGTTAACCTCCATATGTGTAAGCTGAGCAAGGGTTAGTGAGAAGCTGTTTATGAACAGACACCCCTCCCCAGTTCTTAATTTATTATTATCTGGAAGGGGCCTGAAATATAAGATGATAAAAGCTTTCTGTCTTCACGTGGTGTGCAGCAGGTGTTTATAGCCCCTGAGAAGTATTATCAACTTATGCTTCCACTATGAAAATTATGTTGAAATCTTTACCCACTATTGTCCTTTTTCTTCCTCACAACTGTTTCTTTGAGGGTGTCCCCCCATTTGCTTAAAACAATAGGATATGACATTAATCAGTCACAGAAAATACCCACCACAGGAATCGCAAGGCTCTGGAATATTCCTCCAGTGACCTACTAAGGCACACACTGCAGAAAATGTGAAAGCTCTTACTTTGGAAGTGTACAGGGATCTTTTCTTTTTGGAAGTATTTGCAGGTGTCTAAATTATATGCTTTAAATTTGCAACATATCAGATGCTTTTCTCTCTCATTTGTGTAGATAGGTATGGAAAACACATACCAAATCGATGTACCAAGGCATATTCAGGGCATAAAGGACTAGGGCTGAACACTATGCATACAACATAGGTGAAACTCACTGAAAAAATTGTGTATAGTATATAAGGTGTGGTTTTGTATGCATGTATAGAGATACAAATGCATATGATTACCATTTCTTACATGTAAATATTTTTTTGCTAATTATAGTCGCCCTGTTAATTTTTAATACATTTCCAACTAACACGTTATTGTGTATGAAATTCTATCATAAAGTAGTCCAGACGAGCAAGACTTTGTTTTTCAACTTTGAAGCAGAATGTCAGCTGACAACAGCAAATGCAACACACTGATCTGAAGCCGAAGCCGCGCGTCGTGTTGCTTACTTACCCACCGCCTTTAGAGAGGCGTACTTGTTAAGCTCTTTGCCTGGGGGCTGCTGCTCGTAGGGGTTTGTGATCTGTCCCAGGCTGGGATATGAATGTTGATGTGCCATCTGAGGAAGGAGGGGAGATGTTGGCAAGACGTTATTCATCTGCGGTGGATCTGTATTAAAGAAAATCAACAAGCATTAAGAAAAAAAGAAATCGGTCTTAAGGTTTTAATGTCATTACCCGGTACAGATTAGACAGGATATGTCATGAGATTTAAGGCAACAAAAGATCGTTTATTACAAAGTGGGAGTTTGAGTACAACAAACCTGTACTTCAAACAGTTAATGGAATGAATAAAGGCTGACCAATATTTGTAGCAGTACATGCTAACTTTTGTATAAAACAGATCTTTGAACTTAAAAATAGGTTTTCAAAACAATAGAACACCAACATAAAGACTGGATTTGCTGCAGCATTAAGATACAACCCAAAACCCGAAGTTCCCTTCAAGGTAGCTTGAATACAGGGCAGTAGTATCACTCTGTCTGTGGAGTTAAATAGCCAGGCTAATTTAAATTGGCTCAGGCAGGCTGCTGCATAGAGGCAGTTACGCTGCTTTTAATACCAGAACCAGCTTGGTTATTTGCACAGCATTATGTTGTGTTCTGTAGACATGCCCCACAGTGCAGAATGTGCAGTTTTGGCTCATGACTATCATTAGGTAATTTCTTCAAAGCTTGCACTTTGTCCTTATGTTTTCTCATTTTCCCTGACAGTAGGTATCACAATATCGTACCAAGAGAACTTTTTCTGTAGCAGACATACCTTAAAGCGGCAGCTAATTACTGCTTATGTACAGTTTTATACCAGCACTCACCCCATATTCATTCTGTAGTTGTTTTGTTCATTTATAATAGAAAATACAGCCTGGATACTTTTCTTTCTAGGTTATACCATAGCTTATTAGTTGTTTTTAATGTTTGATTCCGGTTTCTAAAAATGTTTGGTCAGAATTCTATGCTGCACTTGATTTGCAAACCTATATTTCAACAGATTTCAACATGCTCAGCGTATCCGTTTTGCTGAGCCTTTCACCAGGCCATGTATTTTGAGATATTTGCAGCTGATTGTCAATCCTAGAACCTTATTATGGCTTCTGAAATCGCAGACGAGTGTATTTTTCTCCTGCAATGAAACCATGGTGCTGAATTGGTGACACTACAGTAAATCCTACAGCATCAAGCACAAGCTTATGATCATGTAGAAAGAAAGCTGGGCAGTTAGGGGAAGGAAGGCTAATTATGATGGAGTGAGTGGACCACCCCTCAGGTGCCCACAGGATTGGACAGGAGCCAAATTTTCCTGCAGTTTGCCAGGATTTTAAGGGAATAGAGCCACTTGGCTTTCCACAGCTCATTAATGAACCTGAGTGTGTGAGCAGAAGCTCTGAAGCCACTTAACAGATTTACTGCTGGGAGAGAAAAGGAAACCCAAGGTGTTTTTTGACTTTGTTCTTCTTCATCGTTGCTGCTGCCTGGTGCAGTCTCTGCTGTTCAGACTGAGGCTGCCCCAGCCTCTGCAGAGCAGTGTAACCACATCACACACCCATATCAACAGGTTGTGAGGGCACCTCGAGGCAACTCAAGAAAAATAGTGCTACCATCTAATAACAGTATGATTCTTCTTGCTGTTGCTGGTTATTAATAGGGAACCAACTGGTTGTGGATAGTAGGTAGCACTGAATGAGAAATTATTTTCCCATAACAGAAAAGTTTTTCAGTAAGTGTTCTTTTTCTTTTACCAAACAAATGAAAAAATTTGGACTTTTTTTTTTTGCAAATACTGTGTCAGATCAGGAGAAACATTTTGTTATGATAAAAAATTATATATATATTTAAAAATTTGGCTCACTTGTAAAGAGAGGAATGTTATTTTGAATTGAAAACCGGAAGTGTTTCTGATCTAGAATCCCCCCAAAATATTGGAACACTTTCTGAATCTTTTCATAGGTTTACCTTGAAAGGGTAAGTTTGTAAAATCCACCCTTTTCAAAGAAAGAGTTGTTATTTTAATGAATTTCTATTGTCTGATAAAGAAAAGGTCTCTGTAAGTTTCTGTTCATCTACAGTACTGGCATGTCTGATGTAGCTGATCTTCTCTTAGAGCAAGAATTGCAAAATCCTATTCCATTCCTATTCTGTCTCTAGAGTAGAGCTGAGGAAAGCCTCTAATGGCTTGAACTATAAAATAGCTGACCGCTCTTTCTGAACCCTCCATATCTTCCAAATGTCTCTCTCTTATGGTGGCATCTACAAGTGCACTTTTGAGGAGGAATGCTAACACTGCCATATTTCAGTAAGAGGACAGATCTAAGATACTAGCATGGGTGGGACCTTTAATACGAGGAAGGTGTCAACCTTTTACCACTACGTTCACTAATTTTTTTCTGCGTAGATCTAAATCAGCATTTCATAGATGCTACTACCACGAAGTTCCCTTGTGGCGATTCGCATTATTCAGTCTGTCAAAACATCATGATTTCACTGTGATGAAAGTATTGTGAGCACCAGCATTTCTGTGCTTGCTGCCAAAGTGATTTGCAGTTGTGGAGACTTGCAAAGACAATGTAAATATGGTGTAGTTAGCCACAACTGTTTTTCTACTTCTGTTTCTGTATTAGGCTTACCATTTTTACTCATTCATCTCTTTAAACATATTGAAGAAAGTTACCCCAGAAATGCACTGGGGAAAATTAGGTGTCCTTGTTTTTCATCCAGGTGTTCAGTGGCTAACTATACTGTTACTAGGTTGCTGGGTTACTAATGTTGCTGGGGTTTGGTTCTTTGAGTGTTTATGAAGATGTAAAGAAATATGTTTTCCATTACCACATCACCTGTGACTTCTCTTTTATCTTGTTAAAAGCCCAGAACTCTCCTGATTTATGAATTTCAAACCAATTAATGACAGTCATTCTCTCACTGCTGCACTGACTGCACAGTGCCCCTCACTCATACGCAGGTGCTTACGCAAAACTAAGTCATCACGTAGAAGACACAGGTCAAATTACTCTTTCAAGTGGCCATTTGCACAAAGTAAATCAAACAAAAGGCCAAACTGGCAAAGTGCATTGAACTGTATTGAAGAAAGATTCCTATTTATAAAGAGACTCCCGTTGGAATCCACTCATAGGGCCTAAAAGAAAAATCTCAGCTTGATATATACATCTGTCTGAATCTGAATAGTGCTAAATTTTACTCTAACTGGCCATAACTGGGGAATGTTGCATTTGTTTGCAAGCTTGCTCAACTGTGTGTGATCTGATTCCTTATCTTTGGATTTCTAGAAATAAGTGAGCAAGTGGGACACTTAGATTTTTTTTCTCCACACATAGTTAATGTAGTGATGGTGGGTAATTTTGCCTATATTTGGCTGCTAATTAGGAAACGTTCTTAACTGAAGTAGCAATGGTGTAATGCAAATTCTGCAGCAGGCACAGCGATGGGGAGCGTAAATCAAACCACTGGGGGGAGCCCAGGCTCAGCCGTGAGCAGTAGGAGGCTTTGAGCAGGACCTGCCTGGCCTACACTGGGTCAATCCCTAATTCCTAACTAAAAAAACTATTGGCCTTGACAGTGTTGTCTTATACGTGTAAATACTGCTTCAGTCTCCGCAACGCTGAATAGGGATTCTCTCAGAAAATAAAGAAATTTGTCTACAACTACTTCACAAGATCTCAATGAGAAATTTGAGAATTTGACTTTTTTTCCTGAAATTGGAAAAAAATACTAAGTGTTAAATTTTGGGGACCAAAAAATCTATTGGATCATTCAAAATATTTGGGATACAAGAGATTGGTTTCAACTGGAAGAAGGTTTAACCAGCAAAATCCCTACCAGATTTATCACTGATCTCTAGTGGCAAGTTGCATCCTTTATACTTATAAACCAGATATTCTGTGATTAGTGTTTGCAAATAGCTGGCTTCATTGAATGGGGACAACTTCAACCTGAAAGCTGTGGCTGTGCTGATACATTACTTTTGGCAACCTGACACTGGTACATTGTCCAGCACGATATTCCATATAACCAGCTGCGCTGTGCCACTGCCAATTTATGTACTTATTTTTAAAAGATAGAGAATATGAACATCACAAAGAGTCAAAAAACTGTTTGTGCCGCAGCTTCTAGCATGAATAGTCAGACCTGATTAGCAATGGTGACACAGTAAAAAAGCCTGCAATATTCACAACCTGTCTTATTTTCTGCTGAAGCAATGAAATACAATGTCAGGCTGCTTCCTAACCTCCCAAGACTTGGAGGAGTCATTCTGGATGTTGTGTTAGGGGTTTTCTCTCTGTCTTCCTACTACTAGCCCAAACGAAAGTGTTTGAAAAAGCATACTGGAGGTTACCACACAAAAGCTAGATGTCTGCTGGGCAGAAAATGAGACCTACAGGAAAAAAATAAAAATAAAAAAGGTCTTCAGACTGAAGAGTGCTTTTGACTGTTATTCCCTTGAGGTCTAGGTATAGAAAAGCTTGTGGAAGGCAGATGGAGCAGAAAATAAGAACTGGAAGGAAGCCGCACCAAAATCAGTTTATAACTAGAGAAAGTGGGTTTTACATCCCAACCACCAACAATGAGCCTTTGGAAATGTCTAAGGCATCAGCTTCTGGTCATGGTCCCAGCAGTTGATGAAGACTGATCATTACATTATCTGTTTATCATCTTGACCTATATCTCAGCCTGTGCAATTGAAACTTGTATCCAGATGTCACAGCTAACAGTCTACTGCATTTTTCAAGGGAAAATGCCTTTTTTTTTTTTTTTCTGAGTGTTTTCACCCCTCCCTGATTGTGAATTTTGGGGTTGCTTTAGTGTGCATCATGGTGACAACAATAATGTAATTGGTTGTTGTAGTTATGCTACACTCTGTCCAATTAAGATGGTGTCATACCTAATGTATGCATTTCATTCAGAAGTCAAGGAATGGGCATCTCAGCAACTATTAAATACAAATAAGAACTGAATGTGGAAACACCTGACACACCATGGTTGCATGTACAGATGTGGTAAGACAACGCAAAAGCCCCCAAACTTATTGTTTGTTTGTTTTGTTTCCTGCCTTGTTCATGGAATATATTGTGCTGTTCACCTAGTTTGGTTGTTCTTG